ATGCTGCAGAGGATGTTGGAATGCTGACCAGCTTGATCTTAGTATTGAATGAATTGCAAAAACAAACCCACTTTCTTCTCCATAAGTGTCCAAAATACAATGTAAGGTGATAAAATAGTTTCTATGAAAAAGTGCAAAATGGTATCATATATATTTATATCTAAAGTTAAAATCATATTTTCAACAGACTTGCTTGTATTCTTCCCCTTAGCCATATTGATTTTTCCATATTAAATGAACATAAAGCAATAGTAATTTTACCCATCAACATGTTCCTATATCCTTTGAAGTATATAAACATTTGAATGTTAGGTTGTCAAATTAAATTGGTCATGCCAAACCATTCTGAGACTTTTCCTTTAATATTTTTTACATCTAATAAAACATCCCTAAACCACACACACACACAAACATACACACACAGATGGTGCTTAGAGTATATCTATCAAATGTCAGGCTCAACTCTGTGAAACCAGCTTTCTGAAAAGGGTCTAATGTATAGTAGTGGTCGCTGGTTTCCATGGCGTCAGCAGGGCCCCATGGCTGCTTTTACGTGACGTCCTGAACGTGGAGTTGGGAAGCCATGCCCCTAGCTGGCTCTCACGGACCCATAGGAGCCGCTGACTCCAGAACACCTCTGGAACTAAGCTACTTTTATTTTATTTTTTAAATATGTTTTTATTGATTTTTTTAGAAAGAGAAGAAAGGAGAAGGAGAGATTCGTAAACATCAATGTGAGAGAGAAACATCTAGCAGCTGCCTCCTGCACGCCCCCTACTGGGGATGGAGCCCGCAGCCCGGGCCTGTACCCCGCCCGGGAGCCGGACCTCTCAGTCCATGGGAGGGCGCTCAATCCACTGAGCCACACTGGCCGAGCCTGAGGTAGTTTTAGGTGCCTGGATTCTGGGGAGTTCCCCTTTCACTTCTTTTTTCTCTTCTTGGGTACCACAGAGCTCTCTGCATTTTAAGGCAGCCTGAATATGATTCCAGAGTTTTAAAAAATTCTGTTGAGTCCAAGTTCACATTCTAAGAACTGGCAGATGAAAGATGGCCTCCAACACAGAGCATGGTATGCCTACTTCAGTAAGGTTTATTTTATAAAATTTGGGTATAGTTTTCAGAAACATACAAAAGGGAGGTTCCCATGATCTTATCACAATGGTGTCTGTTGCTATATAGTTCAGCTCAAAGAGAAAATACAGGTCGGAGGGAATACGTTTGTCACCTTGCTCTAAAGATTCTGTTTACAGAAATTGTTAGAAGAAAATAAGGACCAGTTATGTGAAAATGTATACAGATATTACTGAAAAACGAAGAAGAGGAACTCTCATTCATTGCTGGCAGCAATGCATAATAGCACAGTCACATTCCAAGACAGTTCGGCGGTTTCTTACAAAACTAAATATACACCTACCATATGATCCAGCGATTGCATTTCTTTGCATTTATTCAAAAGAGTTGAAAACTTATGTCACACAAAAACCTGCCCACAGATGTGTATAGCGGCTTTATTCATAGTTGCCAAAACCTGGAAACAACCAAGATGTCCTTCAGTAAGTGAATGGATCAACTGTGATATATGAAAACAATGGAATGTTATTCAGCACTAAAAAGAAATGAGCTATCAAGCCATGAAAAGAAGAAAAGGAACCTTAAATGCATATAGCTGAAAGAAGCCAATCTTCTTTCATCACATACAGGCTGCATGCTGTATGATTCCAATTATATGACATTCTGGAAAAGGCAAAACTGTAAGGACAGAAAAAAAATCAGTGGTTGCCAGGGGATGGAGGGAGAAATGAATAAGCAGATCACCAAAGATTTTGGGGGCAGTGAAAATACTCTATGATACTATAATGATGAATATGTCATACAATTGACCAAATCCATTAGAAGTACAACACCAAGGGTGAACCCTAAGGTCAACTATGGACTTTGGGGGATAATGACATGTCAGTGTAGGTTCATCAGTTGTAATAAATGCACCACTCTGGTCGGGGGAGGCTATAGGGAAAGGAGATACATGGGAACTCTCTGTGCCTCCCTTTAAATTTTTCTGTGAACCTAAAGCTAATCTTTAAAAACAAGTCCTTTCATCAACACATTGCACACCTTAAATTTATACAATGTTATGTTAATTCTATCTCAACAAAAATAAAAATGCAAAAAATAAAGTCCTTTTTTAAAATATGAAGAAGAAATCCAACAAGTTTAGTATAAAGATGGACTCATGGCAAAGGCCACTGCCCTGATACATTTCTTCACTCGACAAGTACTTTTTGAGCACCTCTTATGGGCCATGCCTTATGCTAGGCACTGAGGATTTAGGGATGAATAAGGCAGACATGGTCCCTTCCCTTAGAAAGCTTGGAGTCTAATGGATGCTCTGACTGATGGATTTAGTTGCTGCGAAAATTGTTAAATCCCTGTTGAGCGCGAGACAGGAGACCTTTGATAAATGTTTGTTACACTGATATTTAATGAAAGAAGTCACAGTAACAAGTCATCCTTTCTTTTCCTAAGGGGGTTTTGGTAATCTAATGAAATAATTGTCACTGTGATTCAAGATCAAGATATTATGATAATAAATTAAATTGAGCATGTATCGTGCTTGAAATATTTGAAAGGTGTCTACTGAGCAGCTTCTATTGCAGGAGCTTTGGTTTATATCCCCCTTTCGTGTAATTCTCACAACAATGATGCTACATGAGTATTCCCATTTTATAGCTAAGCTAGCTGAAGTTCATAAAAACAATAACCTTGCCCTAAAATTGCCCAGCTGAGTCAGAATTTATACCCAGATCTGAAAGACACAGGCCCGTGCCTATCCCTATGTGGACAATGCTTTGAACAGTCAGAGTGGTCATTATACTTGTGTTTCAGCAGAGATTCTCATATGAACCAATAATCCTCAGAAACATTTCTCCTTCTGTGTATGATAATATACTACAAATCAGTGGGCCCCTCAGGCAATTTATCCCTAGGAAGACTCTACTTATTACTTCTTTTACCTGCTCCTAACGGTGTGGCCCCTAGACCTTCATCACAGTAAGGCATCTAATTCCTAATACTTGGCAGAGCCAGGAATGTAATGGGAGGAATTATGTGAACCTAAGGCTTGAAAATGTTCTCCCACTCAAGGGAGGAAAATAATTGAACCTCAGCAACAGATTTATGGAAACTGAGGACTTATGGAAAAAATGTATGTTTTTATGAGCCCACATATATAACACAATTATTTTCCCTTGGGTCACTAAAGAGCAAGAACAAGGGAGATAAAATCAGTTATAAGTTAGAAAAGACACTAGAATGTACTCAAGATGCATTGTGGTTATTAGACTGTATTTGAGGTTTCCAGAGATCAACAGAGAATAAAGTTCACAGAGAACCAGCAACTGGAAGAAAATTACACTACCTTTAATATATGCCAGTGTTGTTGAGGGTATTTCCCCAGCTGCATTGAATGCACTAAATATTCGAATCAGTGCACGTGTCACCATAACATGCTTCTCATTTCCCCCCAGTTCTGAATGAGGAATCTTGGCTGCAGAAAATATTTTGTTTGAACCTTAATATCTATTGATCTACTTTGTCTTTTTCTGGGCCTTTTTATTATAACATGTGATTTCTTTTCAACTCTGCGTGAAATAACAAATTTAATATCAATACCTTTTGGTCTTGGTATAAGAATAAAAATAATCACATATTTCACAATTGGACAATTTTTGCCGAATAATATATTTTTATTAATGATTAATTAACAATGTATTTTATTAATTGTTATTCTCATTTTCCTTTCTGCCTCTTGCCACCAAAGATCTTACTTATCAAAGCACTATGATGATTGAATTTAAATTAAATAGCCAATTAATAGTTTTAAATGAATCATGCACAATTTTATGCAAACATGTCATTAAGATATTGAAAATATATTTATATTTGTGTTCAAAAGTCCTGCTTATAGTGTTTCTTTAAATAAACCATCTGTAATAAATGAAGCTGGAAACAGTCGTGAGAGAGAACTAAGGTTACGTCTGAGTGATCATTCCAGCCTTTTCTCTGTTGGCCAAATTCAGTCATTGTTTTCTTTCCACTTCAATATTTCCACTTCGGTGTCTTTAACAAGTAGAACCAAGGAGGAGATAGAACACAGATCCCAGTAGCTATAACTCTGATGAATTGTTCCTATAATTGGGTTTATGAAAGGACTCTGTAGATGATATATTTCTTTATGAGGTAACTTTATAGCAGAAATTGTTCATACAGATCATATTATACGAGCTGTAACCACGAGGCCAATGAAGTGAGTTTAAGGCTGATTAGAGCTTACTTTGGGTTGACGTGGCATTATTTTTATGGATGATTCTAGTTGTCTTATGCTTAATACACACTTCCATTTATGTGGTTGCCATTCTATGAGACAAGTAATGACATGATTTGATTCAGTTTGGTGGACAAAAAAAAAGAGGAGAAAACCTTTCATCTCTAGCAATATAAATGTTCTTAAGATACCTGAATGTATATGACCTGAACAATACATGCAAACATATGAATGAACTTAGAGAAATGAAGAAGAATTTTCAAATCAACTAAACAGTAAACCAAGCATCATTCACAGAGACCATTGACCACGCTGTCTGGTTGTTTTATAAAATGAGAACTTTTGTGGTGAGAATCGAATGGTACGTGACTGGTTAAAATGTCAGAAACCACACTAACAATTTATGCCTGCATATTTAAAATGAACTTCTTACATGAGCGGATAAAGGAAAACTACCTCACACATTTTACAGCTTGAATAACATTTAGTCATTGTGAAATTTGGTAAAATTGCAACGAGGTATCAAACATTTAATTTGCTTCTAGTCTGTTAACTGAAATTTTTTTTTTTTTATGTCAAAATGCAGTTAAATGCCCTCGTGAAAATCATGTGGTATCATACATTGTGTGCAGTGGGGAATTTGTGATTCACCCAAATCTGGTGTGGTCTGCAGGTCCCATCACGGCTCCAGACCCAGATATTGGCTGAACGTTTTTGCATTCATGTGAACAAAAGCTATAGCTTCGGAGGAACATCCAAACGCTAACAGTTGAAGACAAAAAGCACAAAAAGCAGTCACTCAGGATTTTGTTTCTGCCTGTTCTATTTTAGTTGAGCAAATTGAACACGAAAGTGTTTCTAGAACTGAGAAGCTTTTACACGTAAGGCCGCTCCGAGTACTATGCTAGAACTGCTGGTAGGAAGACTTCTCTCTTTGAACTAGTTGCTTCTCAGCGGATTGCAGCCGGAGTTGGAGCAGTTACAGCAGGATGCTGCTGGGAGGCAGCACGGTGCGAGGTCTGGGGAGAGCGCAGGGCAGCTGGCTCCACAGCTGTGCGAACTCTTGTACTTCTGGGGTTGTCGTGGGCGGTAATGAACAGCCCTAGACTTCCACAGATACACAGGGGACGCTGAAGCCGCTCTTTCTCGCACAAATGAAGGTTTTGCGTAAAACCTCTGGTTGGGTTTTCTTCAAGTCAAAACAAATAAGTAGGACATTCAGCTGGGGGAAGAGGGAGAGGATAAAGAAAAGGGGAGAGATTATGCAAAAAAATAAGGGTGCAACCTGGTTAATTGGCTGGTTGTCGAAGGCCAACGTGTATTAATGTCCCATATGGCATTGGCCAGTAAGTCCAGTGTGCAGTACAATTACTTTTAGTTTCAAAATGACAGGTACCTTCTGGAGGACTGTTATCAAGTGAAAAGTGGAAGTGAGGTGGGGCCGGGACTGCACGAAGAAGTTAAACATTTCTGCAGTTCTCAAACTCGTAAAAATTCCAGCCCTGTGTCTCTTATGGATGGATAGGATCATCCTGAAGCAACCACATTTCATACAGTGATGAGAGTTGACAGTGGATGCATGAACACAGTCTAAATTAATCAGTTGGTAGATGTCGTGTTTAGTTTTTCTGGACTATTGGGCTGTGTTGAATTTTCAGCCATGGCAAAGGCAACGTTCTAGGTAGAATGTCTATTTTTTCCAGTTTCATTCTTGTGCCTTATTTGTGCCTGAGCTGGGCATTTACAGCTGTCCCATTCACCCTGACCACATCTGTTTCTTGTCTTTGTCTAGCACTTGAACGTTGGCAAAGCATTTTCACATTTGGTCCTCAAAGTAAGAATGAAAATTAGGCAGTGCTATCTGCATGTTACAGGTTTCCAAGATTCTGAGAGAGGATTCAGCTCAGAAGTAGCAGACTCAGACTTTATGTACTCTCCTGACCTGCACAGATGGCTTCTCATGCTGCAACCTGTGCTGCCTCTCTTTCCCCTTCCCTCTTTGCCTCTCTCCCTGCTTCTCCCCAAATTTCTTTCTCTACTCTTCTGTACATTCCCTTTGTTCACCACACCACCTCCAAGTTCAGGGGATTGTTGGAAAGTCCAGTAGGTTATTCTTTTCCATGTGGCCATTAATCCATTCAAGTCTAGACAGAGGATAAACTATTCTTAATGTAGATTTTTTTAACTTTCAGAGTCCGAGGGTGACTTTCTCATTTTGGGGCTGGTTATATTCATTATGTAGCATAAGCAAGAAGGATTGAATGGGGTTTAACTAAGAAAATGGATTTTTATGTGATAGTTTTTAACTTTGTAGCTCATTTGGTCTTGTAAGATGTGGTAACTAGAAGGGCAATTTTTTTTTTTTGTAGAATAGAACAATGGTAAAGCAGAACATAGAGACACAACGGAGTCCTCCTCTGCTTTGTGTGGGGAATACTCATTATGTGCTAAGCATTAATCTAAGTTTTTCATGTTTAATAACTTATTTGCCTTTCAAAACAAACCTCACTATTACAGGTCCCATTTTACAGGTAGGAAAACTGAGCCAGGGAGAAGTTTAATGTCTTGCCCAAGGTCACACACCTAGGAAGTAAAAAAGTAGGAATTTAAACCCAGTAAGTGTGGTCCAAGAGTATATCCTCATAGTTGCTATACTGCCTCAGAAAAGAGAGAATTCTTTCTCATTGCTCCTCTTCCCACTCTTCACAGGGCCACATTATAACCTGTGTGGGTTCTAGGTACTTTTTGCCTTTTTTTTTTTTTTTTTACAAAATGCTCATCTGAGGATATGTTTTTATTGATTTTAGCGAGAGAGAGAAAAACATCATAATGAGAGAGAAACATCAATTGATTGCCTCCCTGTGCACCCTTACCTAGGATCGAACTCACAATCTAGGTATGTGCCCAGACCAGGAATCTAACCCACAACATTTGACGGTGTAGCAGATGACACTTCAACCAATTGAGCCACCCAGCTGAGACAGTACTTTTGCCTTTGTAGGCTACTTTTATCACAAAAGATTAAAAACTATATTAGATCACTGTGTTGGTGTAAAACCAAATATAAACCAGGCTGGATTATATTTATTTAGCTTTCTGACTTTAAAGAAATTAAAGTATTTCCATGGTTGTCCATATGTACTGTGTACTGGGGCTCTGTGCCTACTCAACACAATAGCTAAGTTGGCCCAGACCCTGGGATTTTTCTCTTTCACCTTGACTCATGTCCCGGTGAGAGAATGAATTTCTCTTAGGGGGATACCAGAAGTAGTAAAGTGAGATTTCCCTGTAAATACTTCTTCAGAATTCAAAAATAGCCTGTAGGGACCACAAATTAAATAATGCTTTTTAAACTATGGGTTATAAAATCATGTAGATTGGTCATAATTAGCATTTCTATGACTGAACTCTGTTAGAGTGAAATGGAGTGGGAAGGGATGAGACAGGATAGCATAGAAGCATCAGAGTACATTTGCACCCTGTACGGGTATTTTCAGGAATATTTTGACCCTTAAACAATGCAGGTTTCAACTGAACAAGTCGACTTGTAGGCAGATATTTAAAAATAAATATGTACAATACGATAAATGTACTTTCTCTTCCTTATGATTCTTTTTATCTTATGATTTTTTATTTTCTCTAGTTTACTTTTTATGAGAATACAGTATATAATATATATAACACAAAAATATATGTTTCTTGACTGTTTATGTTCTCTGTAAGGCTATTTTAGTAGTTACATTTTGGGGGAGTCAAAAATTATTTACAGATTTTTGATACCCATAACCTCATGCTTTTCAATGGTTAACTATATTTTATTCCAATTATAAATATGTATGTGTGTTATGTGAGGTGATAAAAAGTGCATTTCTTACAGTGAATCCTATCTGAATATCTTTTTTAAAATACTGAGCTAGAATGCATTCCTAGTTCTGTCTCTTTCTTCTCCTTAGCCAAGTTCAGCTGAAAATGTGATCTCATAACAAAGTTGATAATATAAGTTTGCTTTCTTGTAATAAATAATGGTCATTAAAAATATAGATTTTGAAGTTATAAAATTACATTTGATTCGAATTTCATTCTTCCTCTTAGTCCTCTTATTAGTTATATTACCTTTGCTAAGTAATTTAACTTCTTTGTGATTTAGTTCCACATAAATAAAATAAAGATTGTAATAATAATGCCAATCTCATAGGGCCATTATGAGAAACTGATGAGCAAGTGCTTATAAAGTCCTTACCAAAGATGTTAGTCAATGCTCTATATAGGTTGACAAGTCAAATATTTATTTCTGGATCAGACCTCATTTTTAGCCTTAGACTTGTATAACTCCAATTGGATGTCTGACAAACATCTCACAGTTGACATGTTCATATCTGAACTTCTAACGGTTCCCCCATGCTGCGCAGGCCAAACTTCTGAGGCACTTATTCTCTACTCTTCTCCTTCTCTCACAGCCCACATCCAGTCCACCATAAAAGACTTTTGCTATAAAGTCAAACACACACACAATCTGACCACTTCCATGGATTCCAAAATGGTGGCGGAATGAATGGAAGCTACACAGACCATCTCCCAGGACCAAACTGGAATTACAACTACAATAAAGACATATAGTTGGGAAAAAGCAACAGAAAAGCAGCTTGTGAGGACCATATAACCAGGGACACTGACTCTATCATGGAAGGATTGGAGAGGCACGAGAAGGGGCTGGGAGCCCATGGACAGCAGCGGTCTTAGCTGTGAGCAGCACCCTTGGGTAAAACTCTCAAGTGGCTCCACAACCCAGAGCCTGGACAGACACTAAAGGAGCCACAGCCACTCACCTGGGGCTCTGGCAGAGGGAGGGCGGACTAAACTGGAACTGTGTGGGGACACTCGGGATTTGGAGGACGCTCTGAGCTTTTCTGAGTTGCACCCATGCAGGATAGTGGCCATATTGCTCCTTCCCAGGGCTCTGGGAGGAGGCGGGGGCCCCTCCCTCAGAGATTCAACACCACCCAGGTGGGCCATTGAAATGCAAATTGAGGCTCATTAACAACCAGCACCTTCCCCACCCTTGGGATATCCCCTTAACCTGACCACCTGAGGGAGTTTTTCATTCAACTGAGAACCCAAGGCTCTTCAAGTAACCTCTACTGATAATCTCCAGGCAAAAAGCTAGAGGATAGCTGAACCATTCCTGGGCTAGCAACTCTAACCAGGATAGTAAGACTTGACAGTGGTGTTTAACATGGGTCCTCCTTTGTTCATCCAAACCGAGGAGAGGGAGCCACAAACAGCAGAACACCAACACCCACAGGAAAAATTTGGCAGGCTCCAAAGCCCACTGTGAGAGCCAAAATGGTGAAACAAAGAAAGAAATGCCAAATGAAAGAACAAGAGACCTCTACCAAAGATAAGATAAATGAGGAGCAGTTAAACAAGTTAACAGAGCTAGAATTCAGAGCCATAATCTTGAGGAAGCTCAACAACATGAGTAAGGACATCAACACCATGAGTAAAGACTTGAAATATTGAAAATCAACCAACTGGAAATTAAAAACCACCAAGAAGAAATAAAGAATAACATATCAGAAATAAAGAACACATTGGAAGGTCTAAACAGCAGAGTAGAGGAAGCTGAGGACCGGATCAGTGAATTAGGAGGCAGGGTAGAAAAAAAATCAACCAATCAGAAAACCAAAAGGAAAAAAACAATTAAAAAACAGGAAGACAGCTTAAGAGAACTGTGGGACAACTGAAAACATAATAATAATCAC